GTGGGGGGGCGGGGGGGGCGGTGGGGGTGAGGGGGGGGCACTGGGAGTGAACTGGGGGGGAACTGGGGGCACTGGGAGGGCACTGGGGGCACTGGGAGTGAACTGGGAGGGAACTGGGGGCACTGGGAGGGCACTGGGGGCACTGGGAGAGCACTGGAGAGGATCAGAGGTCACTGGGAAGGACTGGGAGGGCACTGGGGAAGTGAACCCCAAGGTTTTTGGGGGACACCCCAGGATCTGGGGAGTTAAAAACCACCAGATTATTTTGGCAGAACCCAAAGATTTTGAGGAGGAAACTCACACAGATTTTTAGGGGGAGAATCCCAAGATTTGGGGAGGGAGAACCCCAGGATTTTTTTTGGGGAAAGAACCCCGAGATTTGGAGGGGAAAACCTCCCAAAATTTGGGGGAAAAGACCCCAAAGAATTCGAGGGGGAGAACCCCAGGTTTTGGGGTGAGAACACCCCAGAACTGCAGAAGGAAAAACCTCCAGATTTGGGGGTGAAACGCCAGAATTTGGGGACGGAGAGAACCCCACAATTTTAGGGGGGGAAAGACCCCAAGATTTTCAGGAACAGCCCCGGGATTTTTAGGGAAAAAAAACCCAAGATTTGTAGGGAAAAAAAGCCCAAGATTTTGAGGGGAAAACCCCAAGATTTTTAGGAGAAAAACCCAAGATTTTTAGGAGAAAAACCCAAGATTTTTAGGGAAAAAACCCAAGATTTTTAGGGAAAAAACCCAAGATTTTTAGGGGAAAAACCCAAGATTTTTAGGGGAAAAACCCAAGATTTTTAGGGAAAAACCCAAGATTTTTAGGGAAAAAAGCCCAGGATTTTTAGGGAAAAAACCCAAGATTTTTAGGGGAAAAACCCAAGATTTTTAGGGGAAACACCCAAGATTTTTAGGGAAAAACCCAAGATTTTTAGGGAAAAAAGCCCAGGATTTTTAGGGAAAAAACCCAAGATTTTTAGGGGAAAAACCCAAGATTTTTAGGGGAAAAACCCAAGATTTTTAGGGAAAAACCCAAGATTTTTAGGGAAAAAAGCCCAGGATTTTTAGGGAAAAAACCCAAGATTTTTAGGGGAAAAACCCAAGATTTTTAGGGAAAAAACCCAAGATTTTTAGGGAAAAAACCCAAGATTTTTAGGGAAAAAACCCAAGATTTTTAGGGAAAAAACCCAAGATTTTTAGGGAAAAAACCCAAGATTTTTAGGGAAAAAACCCAAGATTTTTAGGGAAAAAACCCAAGATTTTTAGGGAAAAAACCCAAGATTTTTAGGGAAAAAACCCAAGATTTTTAGGGAAAAAACCCAAGATTTTTAGGAGAAAAACCCAAGATTTTTAGGGAAAAAACCCAAGATTTTTAGGGAAAAAACCCAAGATTTTTAGGGAAAAAACCCAAGATTTTTAGGGAAAAAACCCAAGATTTTTAGGGAAAAAACCCAAGATTTTTAGGGAAAAAACCCAAGATTTTTAGGGAAAAAACCCAAGATTTTTAGGGAAAAAACCCAAGATTTTTAGGGAAAAAACCCAAGATTTTTAGGGAAAAAACCCAAGATTTTTAGGGAAAAAGCCCAGGATTTGTGGGGCGGGGAGGGAAAGGAAAAGCCCCAAAGCTGAGGAGGATCCCCAGGAGTTTTTGGGGGGCACCGACCGAATGTCCGGCGGTGTCCGGGAGTGTCCGGCGGTGTCCGGAGTGTCCGGGAGCTGCGGGAGCAGAGCCGGGAATGGCTCGGGGGGGCCCCAAAGCCGGGAATGGCCCCGGGGCTGCCCCACCCCCGCCAAGGGCGTTTCAAGGGGAGGAGGAGGAGGAGGAGGAAGGAAAACCAGCCGAGGACCGAGAAGGAGCCTCTCCCCTCCCCACCGCGGCTTTCACCCCAAAATCCGCCTCTTGTACCCCTAAATCCGATATTTACACCCAAAATCCGCCTCTTGTACCCCTAAATCCGATATTTACACCCCAAAATCCGTCTTTTGCATCCCCAAATTTGACTTTTTCACCCCAAAATCTGCCTTTTGCACCCCAATACCTGCACTTCTAAGCTCAAAATCTGCACTTTCTTACCTCAGGATTTCTTCCTAAGCCCTCAAATTTGCAAATTTTTACCTCAAAATCTGCATTTTTTTTACCACAAAATTACTTTCTACCTCAGCATTTCCCAACACCCCAGATCAGCTTTTTCTTATTCAATGTATATTAGATATTTTATTCTTATTCTTATGTACCCCAGACCCAAAACTCGTCTTTTTTTTTACTTCAGGATTTCCCTCCACCCCCAAAATCTACCTTTTTACCTCAAAATCTGCGTTTTTTTCCTCAAAATCCAACCGTTTTCCTTCACTACTTCCTCCCACATCTCAAAATCTGCACTTTTAACCTCAGAATTTCCTCCCCGAAGTCTGTATTTTGCACCCCAAAAACTTCATTTTTACTTCAAAATCGATACTTTTTACCTCACAATATGCACTTTTTACCACACCATTTCCTCCCACACCACAATATCTGCTCCGGATCCCAAAACCTGTCCTTTTCACCTCAAAAATCTGCACTTTCCACCTCAAAACCTGCACTTTTTTACTTCAAGATTGGTCTCTACCCCCAAAATGGGCCATTTTCACCCCAAAATCTACTTTTTTAACCTCACAACCTGCACGTTTTCCCGCACCGCCTCCTCCAACCGCCCCAAACGTTCCCCCAAACCCCCAAAATTCACCTTTTTCCCCTCCAATTCCGCCCTTTCACCCCAAATTCTGCCTTTTCCACCTCAAACTCAGAGGCTTTTCCCTCACAACTCCCGACCCGACCCTAAAATCGCCTTTTTTCACCCCAAAATTCCGCCCCCCGACCTCGGCTCCGCTGCGGCTGTCGCGGGGAGAGGGCGGGGCTCGTGGTAATGACGTCACCGCGCGCCCGCCCCGAGTGGGCGGGTTCTTAAAAGGGCAACGCCGCCAGCTGAGTCACGGTGGGGCCCACCAAGGGTTGGGGGTCCCGGGGGGACTTTTGGGGTTCCGGGAGGGGGGGGGGGGTTTGGGGGGGTCCTGAAGGGATTTTGGGGTTTTGAGGGGTGTCCTTGCTTATTTTTGGGTGCAGGGGGGTGTCCCAGGGGTTTTGAGGTTCAGGGAGGGTCACTTTCGGGGTACAGGGGGGAGATTTTTGGGGTTCAAGGTCAATTTGGGGGCATCAGTTTTGGGGTTCAGGGTGATTTGGGGGGGTTCCGAGGGCTCCGTTTTGGGTTTTGGGGGGTCAGTTTGGGGTTTCTGGGAGGGATTTTTGGGATCCAGGGTCAGTTTTGGGTGTCTAGGGTCAATTTTGGGGGTCCCGAGGGGAAACTTGGGAGAGTCAAGGGGAACGTGGGGGTTCTGAGTAAATTTTGGGGGTCCAGGCTCGGTTTTGGGGTTCAGAGGGGTCGGTTTAGGAGTTCATGGTCAGTTTTGGGATGCCCAGGATCAATTTTTGGAGTCTGGGCTCAGGTTTGGGGGGTGGATTTTGGGGCTCGGGACCGATTTTGGGGTGCGAGGGCTCAGTTTGGGGGCGGGGGATTCAGTTTTGGGGTGCGGGGGGGATTTGGGGACAATCCCGGGGGAATTTTGGAGTCCGAGAGGAGATTTGGGGACAAGCCCAGGCTATTTTGGGATCCAAGTGGGGATTTGGGGACAATCCCGGGGGATTTTGGGGTTCGGGGGTGATTTGGGGTCTATCCCAATGGGATTTTTTGGGGTCCGAGAGGAGATCTGGGGACAATCTCAACTCCCCAAGAGGTTTTGGGTTCAGTTTTGGGGGCCGGGGGGGTTTTGGGGACAATCCCGGGGAATTTTTGGGATGCGAGAGATAATTTGGGGACAACCTCCCCCCTCCCCAGGCGGATTTGGGGGGCTCTCGGGGGGTTTGGGGTTTTTTTGGGGTCACTCACCGTGGGGTGTCCGGGGGCGGCGCGGGGGGCTCCGGGGGCTCCCCCTTATATCGGGGTGGGGGGGCTCCCCCTCCCCCCCGTGACCTTCTCGGGTCCCCTTTGCCCTTTCGGGAGCCCAAAATAGCCCCGCCCCTCCCCCACCCCCGCGCGGGGATGGTGGGGGAGGGGTGAGGCCGCCCCTCCCCCCCCAAAACCCCCTCAGGCGATTTTTCCCCCCCTCTTTATTTAACCCCCAATTTTGGGGTTTTTCCTCCTCCAAACTTTTTTCGGGTCCAACCCGAATTTTGGGGTCCCCCTTTTACCCCCTCCCCATTTTGGAGTGGAATTCCGCTCTCCCTTTTTGCCCCTTCTCCCTCATTTTGGGACCCTCCCCAAATTTTTGGGGTTCCCCTTTTACCCCTCCCCGTAATTTTAGGGGTGCCCCCAGCCCCAAATTTGGGCCCTCCCCCCCCCTCAAATTTTTGGGCCCCTCCCCTTTCTGGGACCCCAAATTTTGGCTCCTCCTTCCTTTTTGGGACTCTCTCCCAAATTTTGGGGTCCCCCTTTGAGCCCTCCTCCTCTTTTTGGGGGGGGGGGGGGGTTT